GCACTGTGTCTGAGCATGTCAGCCGTCTGTCTCTCTGTTGACTGCCACGTTGTGTCTCTGTCCAGCCGTGAGGATTAGTTGCCTGCTTTAGTATCTGTGCTGGGGCGAAGCAGGGGACTGCTTGCTGCGAGCTTGGAGGTTCAAGCCCCCCAGCTGTCCCACTGCAGAAAGACGAGGGAGGCTGTCTGCCTCTGGCAAGGTTCAGTGTGGAAATTCTGTGCTAAACACACGCTGTTGGCTCGTTACTCAAAGGCACACTGCGACTGACCCCTCCTTACAAATGTAAGTGGCTCTGGCTCTGAGACTCATTGTGTCCGTGAGAAAGAAAAAAAGAAAACATTTCCTCCTTACACTCAAAACCTAGTAAGATTTAGCTTCTAAGAGGAAAAAAATTGTTTTTAGTGCCTCAGGAACTCCAAGAAGCAGCTCCCGTCTGTCCTAAAGGGCCACTGCTTGTTTGTTTGTTTGTTTTGAAGGTGGCGGCGGCGACGGCGATGGGATATTTTACTGCTGAGTATGGGTCAGTTTAGTCAGGGAGATGTAGTGTGACCTCCTCTTCATCCATAACTGATTTCCTCTACGAAGACTCTAGTTTGAAATAAGGCCACATTCTGAGTTTCTTAGGTGGTCCCTGAGCTTTGGGGCGTCACTCCCTCACCTGCCACCCTCCACCCTTTCCCTTCTAAGGCTTCCCTAGGCTGGCGTTGGCCATCTTGGGGGCGGGGTGTAGGCTGTTCCTTGGCCTTGGTGGACCCCAGCGGAGCGGCTATTGCTGGCCAGGGAGCACTTTCTAGATGTGGATAGAGGAAACCAATGCGCACCCCAAATGCAGTCTTCAAAGGTGCCGTGAACAGGGCTCCAGCCTACTGCTCACGCCTCTGGTCCCCGAGCAGGTCTGGCCAGGGTGAGAGGATGGGGCAGCTCGGGGCCAGGCTGGCGGCCTGCTTCCTCTCCTGAGCCGGCTCCAATGGGTCTGGGTGAGGTCCCCAGGAAGGGGGCCTGGCCTGGGGACACTGGCGTCACAGCGGTGGTCTCAGCAAGGTGGTGGGGCCGGCGGCCCGGGGACCAGCCCCTGCTTGGTGGGGTTGGCCTCCCCGGGCTGCTGCAGGGTGGATGGGTCCTGACAGTTAACCCTCTGCTCTGTCCCCACCCAGATGTGGACGAGTGCCAGGTGCACAATGGTGGCTGCCAGCACAGGTGTGTGAATACCCCAGGCTCCTACCTCTGTGAGTGCAGCCCCGGCTTCCGGCTCCACACGGATGGCAGGACCTGCCTGGGTAAGTATGCCTCCCACATGCCCTTGGCCGCGGGCTGCCCAGCTCTCGGAGACCTGCCTGGGCTCCCAC